AAATAAACTGCACTTCATCAGAATTAAAAACTTGGGGATCTCAAAGAACACTATCAACAATGTATTAAAAAAACCTATAGAAGGAGAAAATATTTGCAAATCACTTACTGGTTAAGGTACTTATACCTAGGACATATAAAGAACCATTCAACATAAGACAATCCCATTTAGAAACAAAAGGCAAACAATCTGAACAGACATTTCTTAAAAGAAGATATAATACATAAATGGCCAATAATCACATGAAAAGATGCTTAACATCATTTATCAAGGAAACACAATTAAAATTGCAATAATATACCATACTTCAACCCCACTCAAAGAAAGCTATACCACAAAAGACAGATAATAACAGTTGTTAGTGAGAAGTGGTAACTTTCATTCAGAGCTGGGTAGAATGTAAAATGGTATAAATATAAACTCTTTAAAAAATTTGGCAGTCTTCAGAAAGCTAAATGCAGAGTATATGACTCAGCAATTCTAATAGTACACAAATTCTAAGTAGCAACAATATTCCTAATAGACCAAAAGTAGAAAAAACCCAAAAAACCCAAGTGCTCATCAATTGATGAACGGGCAAATAAAATACTACCCATATTGAATATTATTTAGCAATAAAAGGAAATGCAATAGAAAACATATGGTATAACATGAACAGATCTTGAAAATACTATGTTGCTGGGTATGATGACATATGCCTGTAATCCCAGCAATTGAGAGGCTACAACAGGAGGATCACCAAGTTCAAGCCCAACCTCAGCAACTTATGGACTCTATCTCAAAACTAAAAAAATAAGAAAACTGGGGATGTAACTAGTGGTAAAGCACCACTGGGTTCAATTCCTAGTACCAATGTTTCTTTTCTTTCTTTTTTTTTTTTTAAATATTTTTTTAGTTGTTGATGGACTTTATTGTCTTTATTTTTATGTGGTGCTGAAGATCGAACCCAGTGTCTCATGTATGCTAGGCGAGCACGCTACCACTGAGCCACAACACCAGCCCACCTAGTACCAATATTTCTAACTGAAAGAAATGAATCATCAAAAAACCACAGAATATGATTCATTCATAAAAACTGCAATGTCCAGAATAGGCAAATCTATATAGAAAGATTAATGTTATGCAAGGGTAGGAGGGTGTGGGAGAAAAGGAAAGTTTATCCTGGATCCAAAGTTTATTTGGGATTGATAAAAATATTCTATAAGTAATGGTTGCATAACTCTGTAAGTGTACTAAAAACCACTGAAATTAATATGTTAAATAGCTTAACTGTAGGGCTGAGGATATAGATCAGTGATACAGCACATACCTAGCATGTGTGAGGCCCTTAGTCTAATCCCAGCACTGCAAGGGGGAAAAAAAGAGTAAATTGTATCTCAGTAAGGCTTTTCTTTTTTTTTTAAGTACATTTGCAATAAACTTCTTTCTATACACACATATACACATAAAGTATTAATTTTTAAAAAAATTTAATTATTTTTATTTTGTATTTCTATGTTGTTTCTCTTACACTGAAAATTTTGGTTCCTAATAATATTAATTTGATTGTTTTATTTACATCTACATCTGTAACTATACCTTTCTAATTATAAAAATAGTATTTGGATAACAATACTTAACTTTACCCAAATTAGTCCCTGTCAGATTTTTTTGTAGTTGTTTTTACTCTCAAGCTATAACCCACTTAGGAAGTGTAATGAAATTACTATGTTGTAAAGTGATTTAAAATAATACCTGATTGTTTAGTCAACCATCCTTCTTTCATTTTAGTTATTTTCTTAAGGACTTCCTCCCCCATTTCAATTTAATTTTGATTTTTAATTATGTAAAATACTTACACAGTTACAAGGTCAAAACAAGATATTTTCAGTGATTTCTAGTTTCTACTTCTATCTACTCCCATCTGTTTTTCTCTTTTCTTTTGGTAATAATTTTGCTTTATGGTATATTCCTCCATTAAAAACAGGTATAAGCAAGTACATAAATGAAAGCCTATGCTATGCAACTTAATCTGCTTTTTTTTAAAATTATTTTTTAGTTTTTTAGGTAGATACAATATCTTTATTTTATTTTTATGTGGTGCTGAGGATTGAACACAGAGCCTCATGTATGCTAGGCAAGCACTCTACCACTCAGCCACAACCCAGCCCTAAATCTGCCTTTTTAATAAAAATAAAACTACATCCTAGAGATTCCTGTATAAATACTGTCTTCATTCCTTTGTCTTTGTCTCTGCCTAGCATTTTACTATGAGCGTTGACATGCAACATGTGGATGTACTGTTATTTATTTGTCCATCCCACTACAAAGAGACATATAGGTTGTCTTCAGTATTTTCATATTATTACAGTGTTGTTGCCTTTTCATATTTTGTCAATGTATTTTTGAGATGATTTTCTAGCAATAGAGCGAAAGTGCAAATCCATAGGTAAATTCCTTGATAATGCCAAATTCTCCCCCATGCAAGGTTGTTCCATTTTGTATTTCTACGTGCAATGTAAGAGAATGCCATTCTCTACAGGCCTATCAACAGAAAAGAATACCAAACTTTTGGATTTTTGCCAATGTGACAGGTGAGGAATGGCATCTCGATGAATTTCTCTATTATAAGTTAAGTATCTGGTTCCTAGGTTTTAGCCATTTGCATATATTTGACATTTTTCTCCTGATAACTTTAGTCCATTTTTCCATAGAGTTATTAATCTTCTCTCTCGAAGATTAATAACTAATTCTTCTTTTCATACTAAGATGATAAAAGCTGCAAAAGCGTTTTCCAACTTGTCTTTTAAGTGTTGCTCAATTTTTGCCCCCAAAGTTTTTCTTTTAGTATATAGATATTAAACATTTCTATTATTGCTTTTGGATTCTAAGTGATAGAAAACAATTCTCCTATTTCCAGGATATGGAGGAATCACCCATGTTTAATTCTTTTTATATATATTTTTAACTTTTTCTCAAATTCATTTGAAATTTATCTTGGTGTATGGTGTGAGAAATAGAATCATTTTTTTGCTTTACTCTTATACTAACATATTTGAGTGAGGCTTATTTGCTGGTTTTATAGTTTGTGCATATCTACCCATTTAGTCTAGGCAAAAAATATGTGTCACTATAAGACTAGGGAAATTTATATTCCATTTTAGGAAAAGTTCCACTTTTAAAGAATAAATATCATATTGTGAACCTTCTGTACTATTGATACAAAGTGACTTGAAAGGCTTTCTGCATTTTTGCAACTATTAGAATGAACAATATCTTCTTTCTCTAGTTGTGCCAATCAGATAAAATCAAACCAAAGATGACCAACTCTTGGGTTAAAAACAATTATTAATTAAAACTCAAGTTAAAAAGTGTAAATTAAAGCTAAATGAAAGGCTTGCACAGAATAAGTGTTCAGTATATTTTTAATTGAAATTTAATCAGTGTAAATCTAACTAGTTGTGCTTTGGGAAAAAATTAAGGAACGCAAAAGTCTTTGAGGTTCAATTCTCTATCATTTTTAAAGTTATCAACTTTAAAAATTATTTCTCATACTGACATCATGTGATAAAAGCATATGGTAGTATCTTCATGAAAGCAGAACTTACACCAGTTAGAGACTGATATCACATCTTACTGTGTTACCCAGAGAAAAATATACAATATTACAAATAATTTAAGTTAGATATAATTTTAATTCCTATCTGCTATGGTAAGTTCCAAAGAAATTTTGAAAAAAAAAATCAAAATTTCCAGATGAGAAAATGGCATAGAATGTAAAATGTCAGGTCTCCAGAAAAATTAAGCCTCCATCTTTCACTTTAACCACTCAACTGTATAAGGTTTCATTATTTAATCAATGGCTTATACTCTTATCTATAATAGAGCAAAGAAATATTAACACCAATGAATAATCTATAGTTTCATTTTGGATACTGATCCAGCCCTCTTCTTAGCAAATCTATTAATTTCATCTATATCACAGAAACAAAAATATGGTCTGAATTTCAGCATTTTAAGTTTTATAGTCTGGGAAATACTCATAAAGTAAGCAAGAAGAAAGATGGCAAAAGTCTTACATAATTTATTGGTTACTAAAAAATTTCATTTTGAGGATGAGCAAGTCACAGTTCAGAATTTGTGACCCAAAGTTAATCAGAAGTTCAAGTCTTCTAACTCTTGAGTCAAGTGCTCTGTCTAGTATATCACTCTACTGGTCAGATTATATATGGGTAAAATGTACAGCTGGGAAATTATGATCCTACTATGAATAAACTTCTCCATAAAAACAAAATTCTATAGACATCACTTATAAGTAGGTGACTAAAAGGATAATTATGCCATAAGATCTATGCTAAATGTAACAAACATTTCAGGCAGGAAAATGAAGGTCAAAAAAGAACTTAGGTGCTGGGTGCTAAAGTAAAAGGATGAATTATTAAACAAGTATTTTCTAACCTGTGGAACTAAGCTCACTTAGATCTTCCTCTTCATTGAAGAAAGTTAAATCTTAACTGACTCCTATATAATTATTCAACATTTTTGATAAAAATGACTTGAATAGTTTTTCCAAAATATCATATAAATATCTAAACTCAAAAATATTTCTTCTAAAGTATCTTAAATTACTGAGGGCACTATTAAATTATATATAAAATAAACTGATAGATGCTAACTCTAGCTTTATGAATTGTCAATGCTAAAAATCATCTCTTAGTTTAGGGCTGAGGTTGGGGCTCAGTGGTAGAATGTTTGACTGGCAGGTATGAGGCACTGGGTTTGATTCTCAGCACCACATATAATTAAATAAGTAAAATAAAGGTTCTTTGACAACTAAAAAAACCCCCAAAACCCAAACATCTTATTTTAATAACCCAGCATTTATAATACTCCAAAATACTCTCTGAAATAGAACTCAGCTCCCAAATTACTTACTGGAAATGAAAATGGTCCTAATCCATGCAAAAGTTTACTTCTTTCCTGATTTCTGGAAACCTCTCATTGGAAAAGGAGACACATACCTTTCCATGACAGCCAGGCACTCCTTCCTCCAGGTAAATCGACTCCCTCGTCGGAGTCGGAAAGTCCCAGATGTGGCAGAGACGGGGGGAGGAGTTTGTCTCCATTCCGGGTCCTCTATTGGAATGGGGGCTGGTCTCATACTCAGTGTAGCCCCTGAAATAAACAAGACATTTTCAGCAAATATCTTGCAACTTATTATAACCAATATGACCAATATGTCATGAAAGTAAAAACAATGAACTTCATGTGTAATAAAGTTTGGTCCTCCATGGAAACTTATAGGTCGATGCAATTAATATATGTAATTTTAAAAAATTGATTTTTGTTTAAAAACTTGACCAAAACAAAAATCTGAAGAAGAAAAAAGCTCTTCCTTAAAAATTCCAATATTGGGGCTAGGATTGTGGTTCAGTGGTAGAGCACTCACCTAGCATGAGCAAAGCACTGGGTTCAATCCTTAGCACTACATAAAGATAAATAAAGTTATTGTGTCCATCTACAACTAAAACATATATTTTTTTAAAAAATTCAATATTGCATTTTTGCACTAAACAATAAAAAGTCCATCTCTAGTTATTTTAAAGTGTCATCCCCCAATCCCACTAAGTCATTTGCCTATTTGATGGCATTTTTTAAAAACAAATCATGAAATCTAATTCCTTATAGAACAGTACTTCCTCTGAAAAAACTCTCTTGAAATTCCTGCTTGATACTTGTTATCTTTTTGATTCATACACTCTAGATGATTAGAAATTATCATTGCCATTTAAAAGGCTTAGGATCACTTATACAATATATTCAGGTAAAAGATGAAACAATACTGTCATAAACTCTCTCTTTCTCTCTTTTTTTTTTAAGTCAAATACAGCAGCAAAGGAAAAGAGTAGACATCTAATTAAATCAGTAGATTTACCACCTATTAATACTTTATTCTGTTACCACATAATGTAATAGAATTTTGATAAAAATCTACAATTGAGATAGTCTGTTAATTTAGACAAGACCTTTCTGAATAGCTTGAAATGATGATGATGATGCACTTATTCACTCATTCACCACTGCTCTAGGCTTGAAGCTAGAATAAAACAAGGAAAGCCACAGTCTCTGACCTCCATGGATTTAGTTCACAGACTGTGAATAGAGCTTGGTATGCTTCCTCAGAGTACAATCCCTGGCTTCCCCAACTCTTCTTTCACTTCTCACACTGTTAAAAATTCATCTTCCCAAAGCATAATTATGATATCACTCCTCTGATGGAAGGCCTTCAAAAAATTCCCTTGATCTATGGTTTAATCCAAATTCTTAATAGAGCCCTTCAATGACAGATTAGAACTTGTGGGTTTTATGTAAATATTGATAAATATATTAAAACATTAATTTTTAATATATATATTTCTTCATAAGAGGAATTACATTTCACTTATCACACCTTCCAAGTAATAACCACGAATAGCATTCCTATTTCAGTACACAGAGATTTACTGTAGACTGGTTTGTTGTAAACTTCTTGGATCAAGCCATCCTGTCTCAGCTTCCCAAGTAGGTGAAACCACAGGTTTGCATCTCTGTGCCCAGCTCAACCTCCTTCCTAATGGCTACACCTTCATATGTATTTTCTTACACAGATGCTTAGGATTTTAGTCAATCCGGATTTGCCTTTTCAAATTTCCTGTCCTACAGTTTTTCTCATATCAGTAAGTAGACCTGCATTCTTCAAATTGCTCAACTCAAAAATCATTCATTCAACTTATATTTCCCCCACATACTACATATTCAATTCCCAGGTAAATTCTATCAATTTTATTTCAAAATTTTTCCAGTGTCAGACCAATTTTTTTTTATTATTTGCACTGCTACCACTTTAGAATAAGCCAGCATCATTTCTTACAATCATAACTTTCTGGGATAGTTCCAAAGATGGGTCTTTATAATAGGTCACATCACCTTGTAATCATGCTCTTAAATCTGGGCTAGTACTATAAATATATTGTTGATGAAGAATATGGAAAAAATTCAAGACTAGATCATAGAAATTTGTGTAGCCTCTGCTTGGGTCTTCTGGAATCTGGCATCGTTACCCTTCAAGAAGTATGAACAGCCTGAGACTCTGATGTAAAAAAATCCACACTAGTTGTGGAGAGACCACAATGAGGTGAAAAATGCCCAGTCAATCCCCAGGTACTCCTGCCACTCCACCCAGATGCTAGAGGGAAAAAAGATATCTCCCCACTCTAGACTCAGCAGGAATCATATGGAAAACTCTATAACCAGCTGACAGAGAAACAAAGTCCCAGATTTCCTGTGGCAGCCAACCTCCAAGTCCTTGAGGACTCTTGCCTCCTACTACTCATCATTTTTAGGGCCTTCTCATACTGTACCATGAGTACTCTGTGACCAACAGCATGTTTAAAATGGTATGTTACCTCAAGGATTCTAGAGAGCACTGTGTATGATATGTCTTGGCTGATCTCTTTATTCACTCAAGGAAAACAAGCTGCCAGGTATCCATAGCACCACATAAAAATAAATAAATATATCGTCTCCATTTACAACTAAAAAAATAAATAAATGCTGGATGGTAAGCCCCCAGGAGAACTACAGTCTCTGCCTAATGGGCACTAAGAAACTGGGGGCTAGAATATCCATGTGAGCCTCCTTGAAAGTGGATCATCCATTCCCAATGACTGTAGCCACGGTTGACAGCTTGCCTGCAACCTTTTGAGAATCCTGTGCCTAAACCACCCAGTTCGGCTACTCCTGGTTTCCTGATCTATAGAAACTGAGAAAACAAATATTTGTTTTGTTAAGCTGATAAATCATAGGTACTCTGTGTATAATAATAGATAATACAAATCATCACAACCATATCCAGTTGTTTATTTCCCTACATCCCCCAATACACTGAATATTATGCATATTATTTATTCAAATGTCTACATTTGACAGCAAAAAAAGTCTCTTTAAGACACAGATTTCACTACTTATAAGAGTGAGCATCTTTTCCTGTTTTCTGACTAGTACATATCTTGTGTCTCTTTTTCTTTTGGATAATTCATCTATCTTATTGGTATGCAAAAACCACGTAAGTTGGTAGTTATATAGATGATAATTATTTTCTCTAGTTTGTTATTTGTCTTTTATCTTTACTTACTGTATACTTAGTGATTTTAATTTTTATGCAGTCAAATCTGTCATTCTTTTCTGTTGTGGCCAATAGATTTGAATATCATTTGAATATTTTTATAGTTGTGTGTGGCAGCCCTTAGTACATATACAATGGCTTATCATATGTGATGTAAATACTTTTTTTCTCAAGTGATCAGTGTGTCATCATACAATGCTTTAGAGAGTCATGGCTTAAAGAGCTGGCAAACTAGGGCCCACTACCTGTTTTTAAATAAAGTTTTACTCAAATATGGTCAAGTTTGCTCATTTAAACATTGTCTATGGCTGTTTTTGCATTGTAACAGCAGATCTGTGCAGCTGTCACAGAGATCACAGGGCCCTAAAGCCTAAAATGTCTATAATCTGGCCCTTTTCAGGAATTTTGCTGACCACTGGCTTACCCACATTCTTGGTCTATCTACTCTGAAACAAAACTGAAATTCTTTTTAACAGCTCAGGAAAAAGGGAACCCCTTTTCTGTCAAAATAACCTGGAGATTTGGTTAGGTCTAATTCAAAGTTAACAAAGTTTAAACATACAAAGAAATAGGGAGGGCTGGAGCTGTGGCTCAGTGGTAGAGCGCCTGCCTTGCATGTGTGAGGCACTGGGTTCGATCCCCAGCACCACATAAAAATAAATAAATATATTGTGTCCATCTACAACTAAAAAAATTAATTAATTAATTAATTTTTAAAAAAAAAGGAATTAGGGAGCTGGAGGGTTTCAAAGTCTTGGTTTTGTTACTTTTCCTAAAACAAGCAGGGACTGCAAACATAGCAAGAGCTTTGGAATCTACCTAATTAATATTTTATTCTGCAGCTAGACTCAAACAGTTGAAAACAGCCATGCTGCTCAAGCTGGAGGCAGAAAGAGACTGGATAAGGCAATGGGTCCTCTCAGTCCAAGGCCTGGCTTTGGCAAAGGTTTAGAGTGTTAGAGGGTAATGGGAGGGGCATAACCAGTGAATTCTGATTGGAAGGCTATATCCGAAACTGTGGCATGCTCTCTTAGGTAAGCAGAGAGGGAGATGCATACTAACAGAATGAAGAACTCAAAGAATCTTAGCTTAATCCACAGGTTGAAGGAAAAAAGCCAACAATAATGGTTCTTTCTTGGTACTGGAGTTTTATTGTTAATATTATTAAGCTTAAAAAATAATTTTCTGTATAATCTAGATTTTCCATAAGAAGGAAATTTAAATAAAATAAAATTAGTAAGGAAAAGGAAAGAGGGAGAGAGAGGAAAAGAGGGAGGTGAGAAGTAATTCTGATTACTTTGAAAGAAATTAAGATGATTCATACACAGAAGGTAGAAACTGAATAATCTTGAACTTGTAAGCATACCTAATAATATACCGCACTGGTTTTTAAGATTTCTGCCCCCTGCTCCATTTCTTTTTTAATGTAGCAGATGTTAAAAATAATAAAAGAAGCACTCTGGAAACACTCCAATAAACACAAATTTCTTCTAGAAATCCTTGCTTATCTTTCTTTGGTTAAAATAGAGAACAATGAATAATCCCAGAATGGGTTAGTCCAAAAATGACAAAACAAAACAAAACAAAACAAAACAAAACAAAACCCCACAAAACAAAAACTAGACTGTAGGAACAGTGAAAATAAGCCCAAGACTCCCATGGATTAAAGGGAGGAGTTCTGAACTGGCTGAAGGGCCTTGAAATAAAAGTGTGCTACCTATTTCTTTCCATTTTATATCTGAATTCCCATTACAACAAAATTATGCACTTTCATCTACCAAATCTAAAACCATCACAAAAAAGCCTTTTCATAATTTTCTGACAGATTTTAAAAATTTTAGTAAGTGTTTTCTTTGACATTTTTTCTGGTCTCCACATTTACTTCATATGCTTGTGGAATCAGCCCCTTGGCAAACTTTTTCTGTAGATGTAAGCAAATCAGAGCCACGAGCCAAGAGGTACTTCACAAGCCCTGTCTGCTGTAGTAATGTTTAAATTAGACAAGGGAAAA